TCTCCGTAAATTTATTAGCTAGGTACAGTTCATGCCCAACAAGACGTCATTGGAACGGGATCAAGCACATATTCCGTTATCTACGTGGTACAGTTGATCTTGGCTTATTCTACCACAAAGATGAAAAAGCTGCTTTAATCGGATATGCAGACGCTGGATACTTATCAGATCCTCAAAAGGCGAAATCACAAACCGGGTACGTATTTACTTATGGTAACACCGCAATCTCATGGAGATCTATGAAGCAGACATTGACAGCTACATCATCAAATCATTCTGAGTTAATTGCACTATATGAAACCGGAAGAGAATGTGTGTGGCTACGATCTATGATTCAACACATCCAAAATGAATGCGGTATGAAGTCTATTACTTGTCATCCTACTGTGATCTACGAAGACAACACTGCGTGCATAGCTCAGATTAAAGAAGGCTACATCAAAGGAGACGGAACAAAACACATATCACCAAAGTTCTTCTCTACTCATGATCTCGAGAAAGAAGGGACGATCAACATTCAACAAATCTGATCCATTGAAAATCCAGCCGATCTCTTCACCAAATCTTTACCCCCGAAGAAGTTCATGGAACTTGTACAGAAAATCGGCATGCGACGTCTTCATAATTTATACTAAATTCAGGGGGAGTATTTGAATGCACTGCACTCTTTTTCCCTTCATCAGGTTTTTATCCCACTGGATTTTTCCTGATAAGGTTTTTAACGAGACAGTACATCCAAATACAACGACATTATAAGTCGTAATTTTTACCCCTTAATTTTCACAATAAGTTTTTAAAATAATAGACAACTATTCAAGGATGAACATTCAAGGGGGAGTGTTGTAAAATCTTGGAAATGACAAGTGTGAATTGTTCATCCTTGTCATCAATCCAGAAATTATGTTTAATCCTTGTAACCTAGTTAGAACAGATGGCTCAAATTGTTATTGCCACCAAATCTGTAGATTCATCCCTTAAGTGACTAATCATCAAGTTCAAACAGTATAAATAGGAGCTTGATGAGGCATTGTAAATTGATTCAGAAATTCAGAAATTCTCAGATATTAAGAAGAAGATATTTAGAACTTTTATAAATATATCTATCTCTCAAATTTAGTCTTCATCTTCTTCATTTTCACAACAATAATAGTATTTTTAATTTAATCGTGCCAAACATATTGCATACCCATGCGTATCCCAAATTCAAAGTGGTTCTGGAACCATGATCAGGTTCATCCTATTTGGTCCATGTTTGCATCAAAGTTAGAATTCGTACCGAGGCATGCGAAAAGAATGCCAAATAGTTGTGTGTCGTGTGTGGGAGAAGCCCCACATTGGAGTGTAACCTCAAAGTATTTAAAATGGTGTAACATACAATTTTGAAGTAATGTGGGGTGAAATTGTTGAGTGTTTCCTTTTATTACCACTCATGGAGTCATGTACACATTGATAGTTTTGTCATCAATTTTGAAGGTTTACTAATAAAAATTAATTTTTCTCATACAAAATGGTATTTATAATTAACATTACAAATTATATATTTAGAAATTACAATAAAAGTTATGTTGAATCGCAAAAATTTAAGTTGAATATAATAAAAAATTGATACACATAATTTGAGATTAATAGTGAATGTGTGTTGACCATTGAATAGTAAAATATGACTATAATTTTGGGATAGAGATAGTAGTATTTTATCATTTCAATTTAATGTTTTGATTTTATAAATTTTTGTACTTAAAGATTTATTTACTATTGAGATAACGGACCACTCTTTTCATATGAAAAAATCTTATTTGTCTTTTTTTCTAGAGAAAAAATATGTGATTAATATAATAATATTGTTTCACCTAATCGATTCGAAATTTGAACTGGACGCTACACCATTTTCATATAATAATATTGTTTCACCTAACCTAAGCGTACAGTAATATTTAAAAATAGTTTGATTCCATAACTAAACCATATCACTTTATTTCTAATTTGATTTTGGTTTTCTAAAACCGTGTTAAAAAGGAAAGAAAAAGGTTGGATCACTAACACACCTACAAATCTTCTCGAAACGGTACCACATTCTTTTTTTACACTTGTTGAGGTTTATTCCCTTCAACCCGTAGGCGCAATACACAACCTAAGGGCTTCGAGTGGGTAGTTTAGGAGAATAAGGTCAAACAAATAAGATGAGTCTCAATAAGAAGTCTTCGTTTAATTCCACTGTTACAAGACGTGATGTCGTTCATACTTACAAAGCGTGAGACCGTTCGTACAGACGTTGTGCTACGAGATAATAAGAATGCTATAATACTAGAATGCTAAGTTGCCTCCCCTTACAATGAAATAAATGCTACTCCTTCAGTCCCAAATTGTAAGGTACATTTACTATTCACTTGGTCAACATAAATCACTCTTAATCTTTTACTTTATATATCAAAAGTTTATGATATTTGAATTATTTTTTGCAGGTTTTGTAGCGGTTTTAATGTAGTTTCTGAATATGTAAATTTTATTTTTTAAAACTAATTTGAGTGTTCACATGGATCAATTTGCTTTATCGCTGGTCAAACATCGTAAACCGTAAAGTATCTTACAAATTGGGACGGAGAGGGTATTATTTATACCGCCAATGGGTAGTTAGATGCGTTGAACCCAACTGTGGATGGCTTGATCCCAACCACCAAATCTTCTGCTTGTAACCATCAAATCTTCTGTATTAAATGCATAATTCTGTCAGCAGGGGCGGAGCCAGACTTCACTCTAGTGGGGGGGGGGGGGGGGGGGGGGGGGGGGATTTAGTACAAGTATTAAAGAGTAAAAGAAAATTTGAAATTTTGGTCCAATAAATTTACTTTGTGCCCGTTTTTAGTCTTGATACTTCAATTGCTCGTAAATTTGGTTATGCAATTAACAATTTTTTGCAACTTAAGTACTTTTCCAAAGGAAACTACACTTTCCTATCAATAATTCAACGCAAAATATGCCGTCAATGTCGATTTTTTTGCCAGAAAGTGTACTTTTTGGTGCAAAAATCCTTAAAACTGCAAAGACCTACTCCGTAATCCATATTAGTTAGGGAACCTAACCAACATGCGGGTAAAATTACAGTACTAATAATGAGAACACTCAAAAATTACAAGACTAAAATTACAAATCTCTCAAATATGAAATTTAAAATATAAAACTCAAAATATAAAAATTTAAAAATAAAAAGAATTATGGCAGTTTGACTTGATACTAAATTGCCTTCATAATTTTTTGGGAGGGGCCAAAACGGTTTTTAGGAGTACTATTCAAAAAAAAAGTGGGAGGAGCCATGACCCCCTTAAGAACATATGTACGTCCGCCGCTGCCTGTCAGGATCTTGGCTGTCCGCCAAGGGGTGGGGACGTTCGTCCCCATGAGCTTGCCTCTGGTTTCCTGTTGGGCTCAAAGTCCCGCGAGACGTGCGTCTCGTGTTGCTCCTGGGCCAAGGTAACTGCCTACGCTAGGATACGTACGTCCCCTGGATAATCGGAAGGGTATCCCGTGGTCTTGGGCCTTCTGGGGACGTCCGTCCCCATGGGCTTGCCTCCTGTTTCCAGCTGGGCCAAGTCCTGCGAGACGTGCGTCAGCCGCTGCCCCTGGGCAAGGGTGCCTACGCTATGATACGTACGTCCCCTGAATAATCGGAAGGGTATCCCGTTGTCTTGGGCCTTCTGGGAACGTTCGTCCCCATGAGTCTTAAGGGTTTATGGGCCAACTCCCATCGTGCCATTAATCCAACAACACTGCTAAAAGGTTGGATTATTAGTTTCAATTGAGCTTCTTAAAGACTATGAGACCGTTTTTATATTATGTTTGTGCTAAACCAGGATAGACAAAGAGGAGAGCATGTTAAGCATATGTCATATGACAACTAACATTATAATTTATTCACATCACATAACATAGACAAACTTTTAAAATATGAAGGTCACGATCTTTGTTAACTCCGTTTTCTTATGTCGATTCATGTTAGCTGACTCCAAACACTTTTGGGACAAAGATTTAATGTTATTGTTGTGGTTGTTAATTGAGTTTCTTAAAGTACTGTCATATACCAAGTTTCCTTATTTCATTACAAAAATAAACCAAGTATGTTGGAGCACTGAACTTGGAAATAAATAGATGTGTATCATGTCATATTTTTAAAAAAGAAGTTTAAAACGTGTAAGAATTATTGTTTTAAGACCGTATCTTACATCACAACATATTGTACATCAACGTACATAATTCACGAACAATAGAATACTTGGAAAAGTTCCAAAGAAAAGTTCAGTCTGGTGTTGACAAAAATACATTTTCTCAGGTAGTTTCTTGTAGGTGATCATTTGATCAATATCACTGTTGGGCTAAGGATAAATCAAGAAATTAAATAGCAAAATTGACATATGTTTGTATAGAAAAGCTGCAGGCTCAGACCTGAAAGCTACAAATAGATGGATGTTGATCGAAGATTGAGTCAAAATATAACTACACAAGCAAAAGACAAGGGAGGAATAACTAACTTCCTAGGCTCTTCGCATTCCCATTTTTAATGTGTATATTCTAGCATATCTATAATCATAAAAGGGAGTTTTAGCTTCAACAAATTGTGACCAATATTATTAATTTATCTAGTTTCTTGTACGTGACCCAACAAGATCTTGATTTCTTTTGTATTGTTTATATATTACTAATTTTGGCTTAAACAATCACTTGCCCCTCTTATCTTCAAGCAAAGGCTTTCCCATGGAAAATTTGCTTCCCATCAGGTGGAAAATTTGTCTATACAATTGAGTGGTTGACATCCTTTTGTAATCAATTCATGAACCATAAACGAAAGGAACTTAGAAAGGTTCAAATTGTGAACAGCCAGATATGCAGCAATTCCAGCAGCATAACCAGCAAAAGCAAATCCACTGACCTGCATAATTTATAACAATTTTTTTAAAAAGGAAAATTGTCAAATCAGTCTATGTACTATTTCGAAAAAGTCAATTGAGTTCACATATTATTTTTTTAATCAATTAAGTCTACCAAGTGTCAAAAAATGACCAAATTTGTCTTTTTTCCGGTAATTGACCGGTTTCCCGTTAATCAGCCTACGTGGATCATCCATGTGACTTTTTTCCTTGTAAGCGCTGAGTTGGCTGTCACGTGGCATTAGAATCTCTTTTTCTTTTTTCTTTTTAAATTCTTTGTTTCTTCTTCCTCTTTGTTCCCAACTAACGACCCCTCTTTTCGAAAAAAGGACGACACCCCATCCCTGAGGCCCCCCAACACCGACCGAATGGTACGTTGGGAGGTTATAAATTGAACTACAATCACAATCTGACAGATAGAGAGTGAAACTCTGTCCCCGGTACTTGCAAATGCACTATGCATTTTTTAACATAGTAACCTCTCATCGCAGTTAACGGGATTCAAACCCGAGAATTAACCCCTGTGGCACTCCCTCGCTACCAGTTTAGCTACGCCCAGTGTCCCTCTTTCTTTATTCCCTCTTTCCTTATTCTTATTCATCTTTCCTTTTCTTTCTTTATTCCCTTTTGTCTTCCTTCTTCCCCCCTCTACCTTTCCATCTTTCAACCGCCGTCGACCTCTGCCGCTTCCAACTCCGTCAAGCTCTACCGCCGCCGTCAAGCTCTGCCGGCGCCTTCTCCATCGCCGTTTGGTTTCAATTGAAGAAGACCAAGGGTTTCCATCGTCGCCTTTCTGGACATAAAAGAAGGGGGATAGAAAGTTGGGTGGAGTAGAAGAAGTAGAGTGAAGAAGAAGAGAAAAAAAAGAAGAAAAAGAAAGAAAGAGGAAATAAGGAGGGGGTGGGCAAGATTGAAGAATGAAGGGAGGGAGAGGTTGAATAGAGTGGGGCCGTGGGGTAAAAGCAATGGGGAACAAGAATGGGGAAGAAGAAGAGATTGAAGAAGAGGGGAGAGGGAGTTGCAGAGGGAAGAAGTGGAAAAAGAAAAGACTAAATTCCTTAAACAGTAGTACAAAAGTCTTGAATTTCAAAAATAGAAGTATCATGTTTTTATTGCTTAAATAGGAGTAAATTTTTATCAAGTTTGGCATTACTAGGCTATTAAACATGACATTTTTTCCAAACTTGTTAGATTACTCCCATTCAAGGAATAAAAAACATAATACTCATATTTTAGAATTTCAGAGTGTTTTTACTCCTACTCAGAGCAATTTCTAAAAAGAAAAAGAAAAAGTGAATGAAGAAGGGGGAGACGGGGAGTTGGGGGATGGATGAATAGGGGTTGCGAACCGGAGAAGAAAATGGAAGAAGAAATAGAAAAGTGAGAAAGAAGCGAAAAAGAAAAGCAAAAATTAAAAAGAAAACAATATAAAAAAGTTGAAGTGGCATCCACATAAGCTCATAAGCATTACAAGGGGCTACCGGTTGTTAACAGGTTAAATGGTAAATTTGATTAAAATTTGAAATTTTATGTACCGAATTGATTAATGAAATAGTAGATGGACTTAATTAACTTTTCTAAAATAGTATATAGACTAATTTGACAATTTTCCCTTTTTTTTAAATGTTTCAACTTGTAGAGGCAGAGATGTTTTTTGGCAGAACTAGGGTTCATTTAAGCTCTTGAGCAAATATTTCATTTTCCTTTGACTTTTCTAATAAACTTTCATCAGCATTTTTTACTTTATCTTCAAAGCATTGTCCGAGATCCAAACAAATCTTCAGATTATCAATAAATCAGCTGCGCCAGTAAGACCATTTGTAGTGGTTAAAGATTAAGAGTCAAAAGATTAAAATTGAAATTTTTACTCTTATTTGTGTGTAGTGGGGGAATAAAAGAGGAAGTAAAAATGGAGAAGGGGATGAAGAATTTTATTAATGAAGGGTGTTAAAGGTGGGGGGCTAAAAAAGGAAGAGGAATGGGGGCACAACTTTTTGTGCGCAGAGGGGAAAAAGGGGTGGGGGATGGTTGACTGGCCATGTGGGATGCGCAAGAAGGGGAGTGGGTGATTTAATTTTTGTGATGTCACGATGACTAAATGATGATGTCACACAGCAATAAGTTTTTAAAATATTGATAGATCCAACGGTTGTGATGATTTGGACACTTTTTGAACGGGAAAAAAATTGATCAAACGGCTGAAATTGAAATCCAACGGTTAAAATAATTTATTTTATTTTTCCATTATTTTTAATTAATATTTTGTTCGACACTTCCGCAGAAGAAGAAGTGTATCGTCCCCATTTCGATTTCTAGTTATTTATGTCTTGTTGTTTTTATTGTGTTGTAAGTTGAATTTCTCGTATGTTTCAATTTTAAATTCCGTGTTTTGTTTGTTTAATTTATTCCATGTGTTATTATTTTAATTATGTGTGCCGATTTTAATGTTCACATTTATTTTTATTTTAATTCCATTTATTATAGTTATTATAAGTCTTTCACATTATTAAGTAAGATATTAGAAAGATATATATAAGTAATTTACACAAACTCAATTTTTTTAAGGCACATAAAAGTTCCAGAAATACATAAAGTTTATAGGAAAAACATAAATAGTACAAATTCAAAGTTAACACTAGTAAATGAAATACATGACACACAATTGGATTAAGAAAACACATAAATATTTAAGGGAGACATATAAACTATATTCCATTTCCATGTTGCCTCCACATGTGGTTTATGAGATCACTTTTAAGCGATGTGTGCATCGAGGAGTCTCGAATTCGATTGTGGCGCATCATATACGTACTCAAGGTCGGGCCATCATGGTTAAGATCTAATTCAACGATGACACCGATATAGTCATAGTCTTCACGGTAGTCTTTTTGGATTGGTTCTTCATCCTTCTCTTCATATTCATCTTCCACTATCATGTTGTGCAGTATAATGCATGCCAGCATTATATCACCTAATGTGTGTATGTCGTGCAAGCGTGCAGGACCTCGCACAATAGCACACCTAGCTTGTAAAATTACAAATGCTCTTTCAAAATCCTTACGAAAAGTCTCTTGCATTGAAGCAAAAAGCTTTTTCTTAGGAGTGTCTGGATGACTTATTGTCTTAACAAAAGTTCCTCAACTTGAGTAATTCCGTCAGCTAAATAATAACATTGATTATATGGCTTACCATCCACGCAGAATTGTACTTGAGGGGCAGATCCATTTACAACAGCATCAAAGACCGGAGAGCTTGCAAGGGTGTTAAGGTTATTATTGGAACCAGCTGTGCCAAAAAATGCATGACATATATGAGTATCATAAGAAGCAACTGCTTCAAGCACAATTGTTGGTTTTCTTTTGTACCCGGTGTACTGATCGGCCCAAGATGTAGGACAGTTTTTCCACTCCCAGTGCATGCAATCAATGAACCCAATCATCCCAGGGAAGCCTCTCTTTGAGGCCTTTTCAAGAAGACGGTGCAGATCCGCGAGATTAGGGGTTCGTAAGTATCAAGAACCATACACACTAACAATTGCCCTACAAAATTTCTTCAGGCATAAAAGTGTGGTCGTCTCACCCAAACGACATAAATGGTATAAGGAATCAGCCGAGCAACCATTGGTGAGCATAAATATTGCACTAGTGAGTTTTTGTTGAGGAGAAAGAGATACCTTATTTGCAGCATCAGTTGTACTTAGGAAATAAGGATCAAAGGCCATGACATCTTTCATGATTCGATCGAACAAATGATGTTGCATGCGAAATCGACGCCGGAAGATACATGTGTTATAGGTGGGGTTTGGATTCTAGTAATCATCCATCAACAAACATTGTCCAGCTTCTCGACCACGATCTATGTACTCACGAGTGTTGGAGCTTGTTGCAACTAAAGAAGCCATCATAGCCATTCGCATGCGGTCGGAATGAGCTTCTTCTTCTTCATCTTCATGAATGGATTGGTAAAATGCGGGAAAAGAACTCATTATTTTCTATGGGAGAAGTTAAGGTGAGTTGTGTGACTCCGATGTAAAGTGAGAGCATTATTTATAATAACATGTATTCTATGTAGTAACATGGTGGTAAGAGGATCCTATGTAATATAAGAAAGTGTACAGACCAGTGCAAGTGGAGGATAGATCTAATTAATCATAATTGAATACACGAAGTGGAAAATAGCATCCAATGATAGGAAAGGACACATTAAGTGAAGAAAATAATTCAATGTGATATGGCTAGATACACAACTTGAGTAGAGAATCCAATGCTCCAATGTGCTTGAATTCAGTTTGTTAATCGAAAAACGTAAAAAAATTATTTTTTTTACATCAAAATGTGTATTTTTTTATTTTATAATTATTCAAGGAAAAAATTAAAAGTAAAACATTACTTATAATAATTTAATTAATGTTATACTAAATTTATATGTAAAAAAATATGTAGAGTGTTTTTTTTGACGGCGCACGGATGTAGGGAAAAACAATATTGACGGAGTCTAAACACTGTTTTCATATAGACGGAGTCCAAATTTAACAAATTGGACTCTTGACTACTACAAATGGTCTAAGAAACACAAACAAACCTTCCGAAGATACCAAATGAAGTCAACTCTCTCCATCCCCATAAAAGCAACTCCAGTTGCAGAGCCTATAATCAACATGGACCCACCTGTACCAGCACAATATGCTACCGGTTGCCTGAACTCTGAATCTTTAGGAAAGGAGGAGAGATGTTAGAATCCATTCACTTCATCTGAATGTTTCTGATCTGAATTTTTTAAGATCTGATCTGATCTGAATTTTTCTGATATAATCTGATCTGATCTGAATGTTTCTGATCTGATCTGATCAGAATCTTTCTGATCTGATCTGAATATTTCTGATCTGATCTGATCTGAATCCTTATGATCTGATCTTAACTTTCTAAACTGGTATATAATAATAATAATAATAATAATAATAATTTAATCGATAATACTAGATTGTTTCCAATTTGCTATATGAATGCTTCTGATCTGAATCTTTCTGATCTGATCTGATCTGAATGTTTCTGATCTGATCTGAATCTTTCTGATTTGATCTGATCTAATCTGAATTTTTCTGATCTGATCTTATCTGGATAAAATAAGAATAAGCAATAAGTAATAAGACGAACATAACAACTTGTTACATCCCCATTGTGGCTGCAACCAGTGGAACATTGTTTATAATTGCAGATCACAAATGCTATTGCATGCTACCCCAATTTGTATCCCATTTTGTACCCCTCCCTATATTTGTGGTTTACAAAGGCACTTCATTAAAATGGAGCAATTCATTTAATGTGTTGGATTTTTGTGAACCACAAATATAGGAAGGGATACAAACAGGGTACCAAATGGGAGTTGGCTTGGAAGCCTTAATGCTTGCTTGATGTGGACTTGGACTGAAATTAATTGGGACCCAGTTGGACTGCGGCCCAATATCTGATATCTTTTGCTATGATACTATGCTAATATTTTTATACTAAGCCGGGGTATGTCCCGTGCTAGTTATGATTTCTTTTGAAAAATTTCCTCTCCTCTACCCTTACCATGAGGTGAGGGTAGGGGACGTGTGAACGGTAGTTACTATTGTTGGCAGATTATTTCTGAATTTATTTGTTTATTATTAAATAAATTAGAGTTGAATTATTCTTTTAGTGAATGCTATTTTATTGGGTTGTTAGAAGTAATGGAGTAATGGTATGTTATGATCCTATTTTGTAGCTACGTATCAAATACAAGTTGTGCAAAGCTTATGCTTGAGTTAATATATATGAAGCTCTGTTTCAGTTTATCCTTCTGTTCTTTCGTTCAAGAGTTTTCCCTTCAACTCAAAATTATTTAGAATTTGCATCTGAAACTGATTTCCAACAAGTGGTATCAGAGCTGTTCGATTCTTTTATAGCTTGTTACAATGAACAACACTGCCCACTTATTCGTCCCTATTCTAGATGGCAAAAACTACAACCGTTGGTGTGTTCAAATGAAGGTCTTGTTTGACTACCACGATCTACTGGATGTCGTTGAAAATGGAGTGCCTGCATTAGTAATTAATGCAACTGAAACGCAGAGAGCTGCTCATCGTGAGTTGAAGAAGAAGGACAAGAAGGCTTTGTATTTCATTCATCAAGGCATGAATGATGAAACATTTGAGCAAATTGAGGGGCCAGTACCTCACACGAAGCGTGGAGTATTCTGTCTATCTCATACAAAGGAGATGAGAAAATCAAGAGAGTTCGACTTCAAACATTGAGACGTCACTACAAGCTATTGCAAATGGAGACAAATGAGACGATTGATTCTTATGTCAATCGTGTTCTTGCACTAGCCAACCACATGAAAACCAATGGTGAAACAGTCTCAGAACAAGGAAAAGTGGGGAAGATTCTGAGAACCCTCACTCCGAAATTCGAGCACGTCGTTACTACCATTGAAGAGGCTAATGATCTGTCAACCATGACAATGAGGTTGTTGCCAGGTTCGTTGAAAGCACACGAGCAACGAATGAACAACAACAAAATGGAGAAGCCGGTTGAACAAGCACTTCAAGCGCAAGTCACTATAAGTGACTCTAATCACAGATCTGGAAGTTACCATGGTAGAGGGAGATGACGAGGGGCCAATCAATCCAACAAAGGTCGTGGATGTGGGCCTCATACTCATCAAAATACTTCCAGAGATAATTCATGGTCCAATTCACATACTTCCAGGGGACGGATCCGTGGTAGAGATCATTATGACAAATCAAATGTAGAGTGCTACAATTGCCATAAACGAGGACATTATGCCAACGAGTGCAGATTCAAGAATGATAATCAAGCAGCTAATTATGAACAAGAAGAAAGCAGAGATGGTGTTATTGAAAGTGATCATGCTATAATGATGATTTCTGCATCTAGTGAGATGCCAAATCATCACACGTGGTTCTTGGATACCGGTTGTACGAATCACATGTGTGGAAGGAGGGAATTATTCACGGAGATGGATGAAACATTTCGTACGAGCGTGAAATTTGGAGATGGCAGAACAATTCCAGTGACAGGAAAAGGGCAAATTCTCATCACACTAAAGAATGGTGATCACAGGTACATTACAAATGTATTTTATGTACCTGACATGAAAAGCAACCTACTCAGTATGGGCCAACTTGCCGAAATGGGATATGTAATGAATATCTCCGGAAACCAGTTCTCTATTTTTGACAAACAAGGTACTTTAATTCTCAAGACTTTTTTGTCAAAAAACCGCATGTTTCCAATTGATATTGCTGGAGGAGAGTATAAATGTCTAACTGCTACTATGAGTGAGGATGCACGGTTATGGCATCTACGTTTTGGTCATTTAAATTTTCAAAGTCTTGGAAAACTCGCTAAACAAAATATGGTGAAGGGTTTACCTTGTATTGAGCATCCTGACCAGCTATGTGAAACGTGTGTACTAGGAAAGAGTCACAGACTCCCCTTTCTGGGAGATCCATGGCGTGCAAAACATCCTCGAGAGCTGGTTCACACTGATGTATGTGGACCCATGAACATTCTATCATTGTATGTGGACCTATGAACATTCTATCATTAGGTGGCAACAAGTATTTCCTCACATTTATTGATGATCTTACGAGGAAAACATGGATTTATATTTTAAGAAATAAATCAGAAGTGTTCAATTGTTTCAAGAAGTTTAAAGCTATTGTTGAAAAGCAAAGCGGGTATGCACTCAAGATGGTCCACAATGATGGAGGTGGAGAGTACATCTCTAATGAATTTGAAAACTACTGTGAAGAACATGGGGTGCAACATACTATAACATATTCGTACACACCGCAACACAATGGAGTGGCTGAGAGAAAGAGTCCAACTATATTGGATATGGCGAGAAGCATGCTGAAGGCCAAAGGTATGCCTAATTCCTTCTGGGCAGAAGCAGTGACAACTGCGGTTTATTTGATGAACAGATCACCTACCAGAAGTGTCCAAAATATAACTCTTATTGAAAGTTGGAATGGTTTCAAGCCCAATGTGAAGCATTTGAAGGTGTTTGGATCGATTGCACATGTACATGTACCTGCACCAACAAGGACAAAGCTTGATGATAGAGCTGTAAAATGTGTGTGTCAGTTACAAACAAGGAGGATACAAACTGTACAATCCCATGACGAAAAAGGTGATTGTTAGTCGTGATGTAACATTTGCTGAAGATGAAGCATGGAATTGGAGGGATGAAGATGCACATAAACGTGTTATCTATGTTCTGGAAGAAGAAACAGAAGCTCCGGTAGCATCCTCAGGTGGAACTGATACTGTTGGAACTGACACTGTTGCTAATACACCTATAGAACCTTGAAGGCCACAGAGACAACGTCAACCACCAACACACTTACAAGAATTTGAGTTAAGACATGATGATGAGATTGGTGATGATGGAGAGCTGGTACATTTTGCCTTCTTAACAGATTATGAACCCTTGATGTTTGATGATGCTGCTAATAACCCAAAATGGATGAGTGCCATGAAAGAGGAGATAAAGGCCATAGAGAAGAATGAAACATGGCAGCTTACTGATCTTCCACAAGGTAACAAAGCCATTGATGTGAAATGGGTTTACAAGATCAAAGTCAATTATAATGGCGGAATTGAACGATACAAAGCAAGGTTGGTGGAAAAGGGTTTCGAGCAAAGGCAAGGATATGACTACGAGGAAACTTTTTCCCCTGTAGCCCGATTGGAAACAGTAAGACTGCTGATTGCCTTGGCTGCGCAAAATCAGTGGAAAATGCACCAAATGGATGTCAAGTCGGCTTTCCTCAACGGCCCACTTGAGGAGGGGGTTTATGTCAAACAACCGCTTGGTTTTGTGCATTCAAGAAATGAAGGAAAAGTGTACATACTCAAAAAATCTTTGTACGGGCTTAAACAAGCACCACGTACATGGAACAAGCATATTGATGCTTTCTTTCGTGAAGCTAATTTTCAGAAGTGCCCCTGTGATCATGGGTTATATGTGAAGGCTACATCTGGTGATTTGCTAATATTATGTCTTTATGTTGATGATATAATATTCACAGGTAACAACCCCAAAATGATTGAAGACTTTAAGAGATTAATGATGAAAGAATTCGAGATGACTGATCTTGGTCTGATGTCATATTTCTTGGGCATTGAGGTTGTTCAAAGAGCAGATGGAATATTTATAAACCAAAAGAGGTATGCTCTTGAAGTTCTGAAGAAATTTGGCATGCATGATTCAAATCCAGTTCGGACTCCAATTGAAACCGGAGTAAAACTTACCAAGGATGCTGATAGCAGAACTGTAGACTCAACTCATTTCAAACAGATTGTTGGAAGCTTGAGATTTCTCACATGCACCAGACTTGATATCAGCTTTGCTGTGGGGTTGGTAAGTCGTTACATGGAGTCACCGAGGGAATCACATTTGCAGGTTGTGAAAAGAATCTTGCGCTACATTAAAGGCACCTATGGTTGTGGTTTGTTTTACTCATCATCCAAGGAGAATACTATTATCGGTTATTCTGACAGTGATTGGGGTGGAGACTTAGATTAAAGGAAGAGTACGAGTGGCTATTGTTTCATGCTTGGGAAAACAGTGTGTTCATGGTCTTCCAAGAAGCAATATATAGTTGCTTTGTCAACATGTGAAGCGGAATATGTTGCAGGTGCATCTAGTGTTACTCAAGCAATTTGGCTTAGTAACATGATGAGTCAAATCAATTTTCAACAGCAGGGTCCAATTAAGATTTATTTTGATAATGTTTCTGCTATTAACTTAGCCAAAAATCCTGTCTTTCATGGAAGGAGCAAGCACATTGACATACGATACCATTTCTTGAGGGATCAAGTCAGCAAGAATGCGATCAAGCTGGAACATTGCAGCAGTGATGATTAAATCGTAGATATATTCACTAAGCCACTGAAGAACTAAGGGGGGATGTTGGCAGATTATTTCTGATTTTATTTGTTTATTATTAAATAAATTAGAGTTGAATTGTTCTTTTAGTGAATGCTATTTTATTGGGTTGTTAGAAGTAGTGGAGTCATGGTTTGTTATAATCCTATTTTGTAGCTACGTATCAAATATAAGTTGTGCAAAGCTTATGCTTGAGTTAATATATATGAAGCTCTGTTTCAGTTTATCCTTCTGTTCTTTCGTTCAAGAGTTTTTCCTTCAACTCAAAATTATTTAGAATTTGCATCTGAAACTGATTTCCAACAACTATTTTAGATTAGTTTACTAGTTTAGATACTCAATTTTGACACATGTATTTTGTTACTGTTGGATGATATTTTTAATATACTTACATTTCATCCAAAAAAATATCAACTACATCACTAACTACATAATATGATTAATATCTCGTAACAATGGCATGAATGGAAATATCCTCGACTCCTCGTGAATTATAGTAATGAATTAAGAAATCGGAAGCTCACAATTTTAATCATCAATTATTCATTTCTCGAAAAAAATAACACAAAAAATAAAGATCCACCGATTCTACAATGTAATAATAATAATAATAATAATAAAATTGTGAATAAAGGGTTGAATTGGATGATGTGAGAAGATAATATCAAGCAATGTAGTACATGGGATCGGGCATCTTGAAAGTACGAAATCCAGCATTATCTCCCAGCAAATCACTCCATTGGTCTCCAATGTTTCCCACTATTCTGTACCCTTGATTCACCAACTCCGACCTCTTTCTACTCTTATACTCCAACGCTGCTCCAGTCTCGTTTGCTCCCCTATATTACAAATAAATTATTCTCAATTACATTCGCATGCATATGCATAATAATATAATGTATTATTCTAACTATAATTTAATTGGTCATATTGATTTTTCTTAATCAAGAATGGTTAAGTTTAATCAATCATATTTTTCATGTGAAACTCTTCAAAATACGTATTATGATATTATAATTTAATTTCATTGATAGAGAAAAGTCAAGTTGGTCAAATTTTGTGAGAAAGGTGGAGTAGTTAATTAGCACTCAGATCAGTACTGAATAAATTACTAACCTCAAGATGAGCATCTCCCAGGTTCTGAAGCCAGCTATATGAAGATTCAAAGTCCTATCTGCTCTGAATTCTTCTTTGGTTGTTGAAATGAACACAACCTTAATCCCCATTGACACCACCCTATGATATAGTCGTAGTGTCTCCGGCATTGCCGGAGCTCTTGCTTCTTTAATCCATGCTTCAAACTCGGTCTCATTGTATGCTTTTACCCTATATTAATATATGATGCTTAGGATTAGATCAGACGTGGCCAGACTTCCAAGCTGAACTAAACTCAATTTGTAATTCTAATGCTCTACATTTTTTGGTTTAAGGTTGTAATATACTCCCTTTGTCCAAAACTGAGTTGCAAAGTTGATTTTTTGGATCAAACAGATTCATTTTATTCAATTAATTAGGATATCAATTCTTAATTAACTGTTAATTTGGATGGTGCAACTTTATAGGAAATTTAATGTAGTTTTTGAATATATAAATTTTAATTATTAAAATCGAATTAATTATCAATAGTGAGAATTTAACTTTAACATCGATGGACTAAAAAGTTTTGACCTTGCAAAATAATTTGGGACCAAGGTGTAGTATTATCTTATCTTTTTTATGTCTGAAGTCTTAATTTCAATATTCTAATGGGGAAATTCTCAGAAGAGTAAAAACGTTTTGGAATTTCAAAATAAGACTATCATGTTTTTATTCATTAAATAAAAGTAATTATTGTCAAGATTAAAAAATACTACTAGTATCATTTAAAATGTAGTACTGCCAAAACATGGCAGTAATTAATTACTCTTATTTCAAGAATAAAAACATGACAACTATATTTTGGAATTACAAAACATTTTTACTCTTATTTAGCAATTTACCTATTCTAGTGAGTATAAAGATGCTATAAGGATGCCAACGCAATACTCCCTAGCTACTCACTATCTTTATGACTTTATCCAAAGTTTGACATCACCATAAAAAAATCAATGGGACAAATCTTTTTGTGACACGAAAGTATTATTTTATCATTTTTAAATGTTTGAACATTTTATTTTTATTTTATTTTTAAATTTTAATATTTTAATGGGTAGACTTCAAAAATTTGCATGGATGCCAACGTTAATACTCAGCATCTTTGACTTACCCGAACCCAACGTCTGCGCGGGCATAATAAGGGAGATTAGAGAGAGCGGTCTCGTCGATATCAAAGACCCAAATATCCTTGCCGTCCTTAACAAGGTGGACTCCGGCGACGTAGCGTATGGCGGCGGCCGCCACGGCTGTGCAGTCGGCGTGGTACTGCCTCCCGAGCATGTAGTGGCCCACGTACCCTTCACATAACCGGGGAACGCTGGGCCAGTCGCGTATGTTGTTGGTCTCCACGCCAAGCCGCCAGCTGAGGCAGTTGACGAACGGGATGCGGCGGCCGGCGGCCCCAGTGCGGTGGCGGAGAGGGTGGATGGTATGAGGCAGGGTCGGTTGCGCGTGGGGTTTTTCCGCCGCCGCTAGTAGTGTGATGAGGACAACTAGTACGTGGGTCGTCGCCATGTTTTGTCGTTAATTGTTGCGTTGTGGATGCTAATGATGATGAAATTGAGGTAATTGAGGTTATTTTTATAAGTAAGATTAATGCATGCAATTTGGCCAACCAGTTTAAACTAACCTTCTTTTCGCCACAATTCTTGCATGGGGGTGCAATATATAAATGCCAAGACTATTTGGGCAATTTGTTGCCACTTTTGGACTTTCGAATGGTCTATATATCAACATTTCATCTTGGGCCGGATTTATCTATTTCACTCACATTATTAGGATTTAATTTGTAGGAAATGTGGCCATGTGGGAAATCTTTTGTTATGATATCATAAACTTATGTAGGATGTTTTTATTTATATTCGATTCGTTTGATGCATTACCATTTACTATCTCCATACCGAAAAAAGTTTGTCATATTGACTTTTCTTGGTCAATGAAGACAAACTTTGGACAATGATTTTAATTATTACATTTATATATAATTTTTATGTTTTATATTTTTATGAAAATATTTCGAATAAGGAACATTTTGATATAACTTTCATATTCAAAATAATTTCGTATTAAAAAATATGATTGGTCAAAGTTGATTGCCATTGACCGAGAAAAATCAATTTGGTGAACCTTTTTAGGATGGAGGGAGTATTTAAATCTAATCTGATGTTTTCTACTTGTCTGCTAAAGATTTGGTATATCCATATATGCGATTTTTATCACTTGAGATTTCAAGTCTGCCCTGATTCAATCAATTTATTCAAGCCTGATCTATTTGGTAGAGTTCGAGATTGAAATTATATTGATTTCACTTGAATAACAAAGATGCTTGTCAAAACAAGCAACCCATTCGCCATTTAGAAAAAATAGAGTACATTTTATAGAAAGTACGCTAAAATCATTGGTGGAAAGTGTTAATTGTTAATTTGAAGCATGCAAATATGCAATTCGAAGATATGTAAATTATGTGATTCACGATTAGCGTCAGTAAAGGATAGAATTAAAAACTATTGGGTAATTAGATGTATGTGGGTTTCTATTATCAGTTTTTTTTTCAAAAACTATTACCGAAATAAGCTTATTAAAAAAAAATGACTAAAAGTTACTATAGTATAGTTTCATGGTAATTTTAGTTTAAAAATTAAACATGAATTACTATGATTAAAGGTAAAGATGACTACAAGTTACTATAGTATAGTTTCATGGTAATTTTAGTTTAAAAATTAAAAATGAATTACTATGATTAAATGTATAACTATAATTATTACATTTTTTTGGAAGAAGATGACTTATATTGATATCACAACATTCAGATAAGGATTCAAATAACAAAAGGACCACAAGCAACCGCCAGCTCTCGAATCAGATTTAAAGTTATTTACCTTCAAAAAAGCAATATAACCCGCTGATCCTGTAATGGACATAACTTAGCCAAAGACAGTTAACACATATCTCCTATCACCCAATGCTAATGCAAAAGTCTTACAGCAAAAACAGAAAGAAACAGAGAAATAAACAGCCTGATCATGAAAATTAAAAAACAGAAAAACAATAAAATTAAAGTCTTGTTCTGTCTTCAAAAGCACAACCACCATCCACACTTCCCACCCATCGAATTGCTTTAGATGTTCGATGGGCTTTGTGATTGGGACTCGTCGCCTCCCCGTTTTTTGGCTTGTCCAGAGCCATGTTATCACCACTTGGGTCCTCTTGTGCTTGCTCCTCCCAGACCATCCCGCGTTTTTATCCCCCCGACATCTCCACAGTCCTCCCTATGTTCCCTTCCTTAGTCATGCTATTGCATGTGCCAGTTGTGGACTCTCTCCATCCCTGTCCTCTCGCACCTTCTCCTTCCTAGCCCTTGTTCCTCAGTTGCATCATCAATTCTGTGCTTGAAAAACCTTCCACAATCCGGCCACTTATATCCTCCCGTAGGACTAGTCTTCCCCCCTCCATCAGCTCTAAGCTCCACCCCATAAGAATTTTCCAAAACTAAATCATCAGATCCTCGATCATATTTCAAAGGGCATGCAGAATTTATCAGAATGACCAATGGTCCCACAAATAAAGCAAAAGTTAGGTAGCTTTTCATATTTCAAATCTACCTAGTGGCTAATACCCTCTTTCCTGAGGGTTGATCCTTTTTAGAGCTTTTCCAACATCCATGCATACCCTAATTCGCATATAGGTTTCCCACTTTTCATCAAACTGGCTTTCATCAGAGCTAATAAACTTTTCAATATAATTGCCCACCCTCCTAACAGTTCCTAAGTTCATAAACCCGTATGGTACAGTATGTACTTGTACCCAGAATTCTGCCTCATTTAGGCTTATTTTTTGAGTGGAATATCCTCCGGCCTAACTTCTTTGAGAAGCAACAAACTCCTTTCAAATAACCATATATGGACCATCCTCTAAAACATGTCTCATATCCACAATATGATAAAAAGTAAAAAGGTACCTTTTCGCCTATTTCTTTGATTGGCATACCTTTGCCTGGTCGCCATAAAGAACCGTCTAATGGATAGTGTACCCGGGGGTAGCTTATCCAAGGGGTTATTGTGGGAATAACTTAGAGAGAAGTCAGAGCAAATAAGTAAGAGAGAGAGTGCATATTCGATATGAATTCAGCGTGGTTTGCAATGGGGAAATGGGCTGCTATTTATAGTAGCAATAAATGCTAGTTGGGTACACATGTCAAGCATCTAACAGCCGAGGGTCACCTCAATCGGGGTGGCACCGGCATTTGCATGTGGCCGCATTAAATGCAGTGGTTGGACGCGACGTTGGTACTTGGTACGGTGATCCAACGCATGTGGAGAGGAGATTCTGTCGAGGAAGACGCCTTCGGCTGTACCTAATGTGTCGAAGGCTCCATGGGTCGGGGGCCTCTATGTGCCGAGGGCCGCAGGTGCCGAAGGCTTGGTTTTCAGCCTTATTCTCCTGTGATGTTTCTGGGTTTGATTCTGTCAACAGCATCCTTCGGTCATGGAGCCAAAGGCACCCCCTCGCGAATTGTGGGCTGCTTAGAGCTTCATTTTGTTGGGCTTGGCCCGTTTGGGCCTATTGGGCTTGATTGCTGTTGTGGAAGTATGTGGGCTGGGGGTCCCTGGACCATATACTCCATCAGGAGTCCCTCACTCCTTTTGCCAGAAGGTACCTGAGGGAAAAGGAGTATTTATGTTTGTCCTATGATGCTGGTGTTTGTTTCGTTGCTGTTTGTAGAGTTGTGAGAGGTTTGCGTTGCCCGTTTTACCGAGGGTAGTCCCTCAGTCCCCAACATTTCGGGACTGCAGGACGTTGATGCTCTAGGAGAAATTTTAACATTTTGTGATTTTCCCGAAGGGGTTCCCCAGTCCCCCACTCCTTAAGGCACATGTAGTGTGGTGAAAAGGAGTAGAACGGTGCCTGCCTTCAGTCTAGGACCGAATTCTGGGGGGATGCCTCGTTAAAAACCTTATTAGGAAAAACCTCATTGGAAAAAATCCTAATGAGGGAAAAAGAGTGCACCGAATTCTCCCAATGATGAATCGAAAAGGTGGACCCTTATTCTGAGCATGTTGTTGAGGGCGAGGGCTGTCCGTGCTATGAGGGTATTCTCGATGATTGGCCGAGGGCTTCTTGTGGATATTCTGGGGATGCCGAGGGGGCCCCCTCAGTCATTGTGGGCTGAGGGAGTGATGAATATAGGTGATAGTTCTTGTGTTGCCGGGGGGTTCCGGTTCCCAATATGTTGAGGACTAGGGTTCCCGAGGGGTTCCTTGATCCTGTTTTGAGGACTGACCATCTTCATTGTTCTGCCCGAAGGGCGCCAGCTGAATACATTGTTGCGATGTGACCGTTTGAAATATAGCCGTTGGGATATGACCGTTACAGGTGGGGTCCATGTGGCGTGCTCTTGTTGGATGTTCCGGGCGGGTGTCACCGGTTGGCTGAGGCGGCGGCGTGTAATGATGAATTTTAGAATCGGGGGCCCAATTCTTGGCCCAGGCCCGAAATGGGGCGGCTATAAATACCCCAGGCCTAACCTCATTTCTCTTTATGCACTCTTGTTGTAGCGAAGCTCTCGCGAAAATTTTCTAGAGAGAGAAAACTCCCTTCGATCAAACCCAAGCTCTTGAGGTCAGTTCTTCTCCGCTCTTGGTACTTTCTCGCATATTTTGCTTCCTGGGCCCTAGATCTACTGTTAGAGCCTTTAGGACTTTTCTCCCTTATATTTTTCTATTCATCGATACCGAAGGATGTCGTCAGAGGATGATTCTCAGAACATCTCGAGGGAGCCTTCAGTGCAATCCCAGAGCTATTCGGACGTGGAGTCCTCGAGTGAGCTGCCCTCAACTGGTGACGATGCCGCGGTGGCTGAAGAGGTCCAAAACAACCTCCGAACCGAGTTGGAGGCTGAGGATTTCGAGCATGTAGTGGAGGATGAGGAGTTAGCCCTCGCCATTCAGGTCGCGGAGGAGGAAGAAGAAAAAGAGAGGCAGCAGGTCACCATTGCTGTCTTGCCCGCTCGTGATGATGCCGAGGCTGGAAGCTCCAGGCCCCTTGACCCGACACCCCTCAGTGCGGTTCCAGGCAAGAAAAAGAAGAGAACGAGGGCAGCTCCGAAGAAGAAGCAGTCCACCGCCGATGCTGGGCAGCCGGTGGGTATTCCCGAAGGCTATTAATTTCACAATTCTGCGGCCCTGGACGTGGAGACGAGGGCAACGTCCGGCGAGTATCAAGCCACACAATTCCTCGTGGGTCCTTCAGCACAGGTAGTGGAACCGGGGCCGGATGACGTGTTATTGCATGCCCCCGCCGGCTGCTTTGCTGTACATATACTCTCGGCGGAGTTGGGGCTCCGGTTTCCCCTCCATCCATTTTTGTTAGAGTATTTGGGATTCGTGAAGCTGACCCCCTGCCAGTTGACGCCCAACAACCACTCCTACATCACAGGCTTCCTTTCGTTGTGCCGGAGCCGAGGGGTCCCACCTACTTTGGACCAATTCTTCCTGTCATTCAACCTCTGCCGAGGCGGGCATTCAAACGTC